TGCTCAAATTATAGTGTTCCACAAAACCGATCTAGTGTTAAACCCAAATCCTCCTAGTATTTAAGTTCCAACAGTTGCTATTACAGAAGTTAAGATAGCTATCATCTAGACCCATCCTTCCAATAATTTATACTAGCAGTGGTAAGGAAAAACGTGAACCACAGAACCACAATGCATCCACAAACATGCTTAGTCTAGGTTGAACAAGCATACAACACTACTGTAACTACCAGTTTCATAGCAAACAAATATCATTTTAGTTTGGTTTAATCTTCATTAATCCTGAAATCATTTAAGAGTGCAAAGAGTATGAAGCCTAAGGGAAAGAGTAAGGATAGAATCTTGCCTCAGAAACTTTTGTTCAAAGTTTCAACGTCGTCTTCTTAAAAAAAATCCCGGCGAGTTCCAAAACCCGGTTACTGTTCACGGATACGAAACACTATTCCCGAACTCAAAATCTAATCTCCACCGTTCAGATTGTGCGACACTGAGTCATGAACCTATCCTCCAAATTTCAGCTCAATCAGACCACGGACGAAGCCGGATCGGATGTTTGATAAAATCTGGGCAGAATGGAAAAAAACCTGTGCGACCCAGTTACTGTTCATGAGTATGAATCACTGTTCCCAAGGTCAAACTCTGATCTCAACCGTTCAGATTGTGTGTCACTGAGTTATGACCCTCTCCTCCAAAATTCAGCTCGATCGGACCACGGACGAAGCGGGATCGGATGTTTGATGAAATCTAGGCAGAATGGAAAAAACCTGTGCGACCCAGTTATTGTTCACGAGTACGAATCACTGTTCCCGAGGTCAAACTCTGATCTTCACCGTTCAGATTGTGCGTCACTAAGTCGTGACCCTCTCCTCCAAAATTCAGCTCGATCGGACCACGAACGAAGCGGGATCGGAGCTTTGATCAAACCTTGGCAGAATGTGAAAAACTGCGTTTTTCCTTCTCCACTTCCACAAAACGTGTGCTTTGTTTCAAAAAACCCTACACAGACGTCTACCTTATACTTATAGAGTTTTCCTTCATTTAAGTCCAACTCACAATCCTAACCGGCCCATCCAATTAACGTAGAAACTTACGACGGTTATAATATAAAACCCTAATTTATATTGTAATTAAAACCCTAGTTAGATGTATTTACCTAATTACCCTATTCACCATTGAATACTTAACAAATAATCTAATTGAACAAAATAATAATTAGTAAACCCAATTAAACCAAATAAGACACACATAAAATAAGACACACATAGAATAATTAAACCAATTACACTTAAACCATTAATGCCAATTAAATAATTAAAATACTAACAAGTAATTCCAATCAAATAACTAAAAATAAATATCATTTAAATAAATTAAATCACCACAAAAGAAATAAATTAAATCACCACAAAAGAAAACAATTAAGCACCTAATAAAAAAAATAATGACACATAATCAAATAAAATGCACTTAAATAATAAATTAAATACCATTAAATACCAGGAATATCCTTTTTAAAATTAGGGGTATTACAGAGCCGAACACCTTGGGGTCGAACACCATAAAGAGAGGATTGAGCACCATCAATAAAAAGACGTTTCGGATAAATTTTGCTCCCAGAGCTCGAGTCTGAACTTTAAAGCTCGAGCACGAATCAAAAAGCTCGAGCACCAACACTTCAGCTCGAGCATGGCTGAAAACTCTGAACCTGCTTTAATATTTTAGCCATAACCTTTGACTCAGAACTCCAAATGGAGCAAACTCAGCGGCTCTGGAAAGAAAACTCGAAACCTGATTTTTTTTTATCTCTAATAGCCATCTCCAAATTCGCACTCTAAATAGGTCAAAATTACATTATAAAGTCAGAACAATTTGCTGGTAAGTGATGCTCGAGCCTGAACCCAAATATTGGAGCCTGAACCTCAAAGCTCGAGCCTGGGACTCTAGAGCTCGAGCTTGGACGTCCTGGAAGTCGTAAATACATGCGGGAATGACCAAAAATCATATTTCTTTATTTCCTTATGGGCCCAATTGTTACCAAAAGCCGTAAAACCAATCCAAAGGGGATTGGGATTGGTTCTCCACTATAAAAAAAGAGGAGAAGGCCACAGAAAATCCATCAATTGCTCTCTCTCATATCTCTCTCTTACGACAGCTTTTAGGGTTTTGAAGAAGAATATCCCAAAGGAGTTTTGACAGTCTATGGCGATGAAGACCACAACTATACAGATGATATCTTGCGTCATTATGAGTAGCTAATTCCTCTCTTAGGGCATTGATGTAGCCCGAATCGGAATATTATGGTTTGATTGTTCTATACTTTGGGAATTTAATATATTATGTATTTTGATTGCATGATTTTGGGTAATTGCTTAATTCAATTAGTGTGTTAAATATTAAATAGTCTTTGAATGATTAATACCTTGTCTTAAATTTAATTTTTCTTAAATTATATTCAACCCATTCTTATGGATGATATCTGGCGGAGCCCTACCGGACATAAGAATAGAGATCATGCAATGGTGTTCAAACGTTTTTCTTGAATGAACTCTTTCATAATCTATACTTAGGGAAAATGAGTTATACTGCAACATTAGTTAGAAGTAGGTAGACGGATAATTCGTACCAACTTTTGATAGGTTATCATTAGCTAAGTTCAATGAAACATCTTTCTTTAAAACCGAATTAAATTAATGATATTGAGTTTAATTCCATATGATACATAATTATTGAAATCCCAAGGTTGAATAGTTGACCATAGTATGAGGTTCATGGTGAAGTCAATTCCTAAGTATTTCTTCTCTTGATCTCAATTCCTTTATTTTGTTTATTTTCTGTTTATGTTTTTTTTTAATCATAACACACAATAAATCTTCCTTTTAAATTAAAATAGTATTAATTGAAGACTCGATAAACCACCACAGTCCTTGAGGTTCGACACCCTCAACATAGCCCTATCCTACAAGGATTCGTTCTATTGCGAGTGGTATTTTATTATTGATAAATAAAAACACATATCAAAATTTTGGCGCCGTTGCCGGGGACTGTGTCACAATTTTGTTGAGTTTGAGATTAGTTTTATTTTAATTTATAGTTTTAGGACTTCCTGATATCTCACCTTATTTATTTTTCTTTTCAAGTGCAGGAATCTAGCAGCGAGGACGAAGATGCCTAAGGAATAGAAGCTTCGGTTTCAAGACCTTTTGTGAGTTTTTGTTGTTTTTCTTCACTTGAAATTTTTCTTTTTGTTACTACTTGTTACCATTGAAATTAGCTTAAATTGTTAGGAAAATTCTTTAAATCAGACATGGCTAATAATGGTGACAATCCAAATGGGGCACAATTGAGGGATCACTTCATTCCCACCTCATATACATCCCCTTATTGCTTTCAATTTCCACAAGCTGATACAACCCACTTTGAGATCAAGCCAGCTATGATCCAAATGCTTCCAACTTTCCATGGGTTTGTTACTGAAGATCCCTAGACGCACATAGATGAATTTCTAGAATTGTGTTCAACTATCAAGTTGTCAACTCTTTCTGATGATATTTTTAGGATGAGATTCTTCTAATTTTCTCTCAAGGACAAAGTTAGAACTTGGTTGTACTCACTACCTCATAATTCCATAAGCACATGGGATAAGTTGCAACAAGAGTTCTTAAAAAATATTACACTGTGGGTAAAATCACACAAATGAGAAGAGAGATCATGGCGTTTTCCCAAATCCCGAGTGAACAACTTCATGATACTTGGGAGAGATATAATGATCTTTTGAGAAAGTGTCTTTAAAGTTTTTAATAAAAAAAATCCAATTAGATAAGGATATATATAAATAAAATAAAATAATTTCTATAAAATAATTAAAAAATATATGAAAAGAAAAATTTCATAAATTACAAACCATTCATCACGTGCATCGCACGTGCCTTTTACTAGTAAAATATAAAAGTGTAAAGAGTTTTAGCATTTCAGTATTTATTTTTTAATATATAAAAATATTTATTAATTAATTTTAAAATAGAACATTATCACATATAACCTCGGTATTTACCTATTTATTATGAGTTATTCAATAAAAGAAAATCTAATTAGATAATAATATATATAAATAAAATAAAATAATTTCTATAAAATAATTAAAAAATATATGAAAAAAAAAATTCAATAAGTTACTAAACATTTATCACATGCATTGCACGTGCCTTTTACTAGTGTATATATATATTACAACAATATTTAATAGGTTAATTACGAAAATATGATCTTAAACTATATTTATCTTCTACATATCGTCAAATCTTAGCAATTAGATGGGATTTGGAATGTGTTAAAAAAGCATTTGAAATCCCATTTATAATCCGACTATACCAAACAACTTAAATGTTGTTTTCAAATTTAAAACCCGTCAAATTCCATATTCCAAACACAGTGAATATTTGGGCCGAAATGGCTGGTAGACTTGAATTGCTCAAAATGGGTAGAACCGACATGGCAAATAGCGGAAACATCTACTGTTTTCACCTCTCTTAAGTTTTACTGGACCATCAGCTGATATCATTGTTCCATGTCACCAATAAAAAAAGTGAAGATGTAACATTACATGTCCAATTTTTTTAATTTTTTTCGATTTTAATAAATTATTGTCAGATAAAAATATATTCTCTCTTATTCGAAATGTTAATTTTAACTTTCAAAAAAAAAAAGAAATGTTTATTTCAATAATTATGAAAGTGCATTAGTAACCATAATCAATAATCACATTTATCTTTTTCATATATGGCGAAAAAAAAAAAAAAAAAAAAAAAACAACAGAAGGAGAGGACAGGAAAGAGAATGCACTGTACAATGAAGAAGCAAAGACAGAGTTTGAATTAGTGACGTGTCACTTAAGCCTAAGCGAGCACACCATGTGCCTTTTCCTGCGTACCACGTGGCACGACACAACAGTCAAAGGAAACAAAAACAGTTGGATCCGTAAATTCGAACCATTTTTACCCTGAAATGAAGGTGGTCCATATGATTTGCCCATTATTCCACCGGCATGACATCGTTAATTCATTCGTTAGCCCCATCGATATAGATATAGGAATCATATACTCTCTCGATATGCATAATTAATTAATTAATATTACCACTCTTCTAGTTAACTTGTGGTTATATAGACAGTCTCACTGTCTCTCTCTCTTTCAATTCTGGGCATCTTCTCGTGTTTGTTAGGTTTGATCAGATCTGTGTGAGAAAATGGGGAGAAAGGAGTATTTGGCTATGAAAACTGATCCGGCCACAGCCGAATTGATCAATTCCGACATCAATGACCTGAAGATGGCTGCCAAGAATCTCATTAATCATGCCACCAAGCTTGGAGGCCTTGGGGTCGGCACTTCTGTCTTCAAATGGATTGCCTCCTTTGCTGCTATGTGAGAATACTCTATTCTATTTCCCCAAATTCAATATATATATATATATATATATATGCGCACAAAAATGTAAATAGAAACATGCATTGGTTGCATTTATGAATTTTAATTGAATTCCTTTGATCTTTGATGTGTGGAGTATATGCAGTACCAAAATTACTGACGTATATAGTCTACTAAATTTATTTTTTTATTTTATTTTGGTCTTTCATCGAGGCCGATTTTGATAGTTTTGAGTAAAGTGATATTTTGATCTGCTGTTGAATTCTAAAGTGAATAATGTCAAAGAGAAAAAGGGAAGGAAAGTCCTCTGGTTTCAGTGTACATTCTAAAATTTACCCAACTTTTGTTACATACTGTGGATGATCACTCTATCTTCCTTGACTTTGAACTTTGATTGGGTGGATCTCTATTCCATTGGGTAATTTTTTAGTTGATTATATATATATATATATATATATTTATCAATGGGGCATTTTCCCCGGTATATAAATATAGAATGCCAAAGTCATTAAAACCAATAGGGAGACCTTAGCACTTAATGTTCACCTTCATTGCCAGGAATAAGAGATGGAAGTTTAATGAATTAGTCATATTGATTTCTTTAATCGTGTTACTGTTACACTATATAATGTTCAATCTTTGAGAAAAGATTTTTGTGTGTGTGTGTGTGTATATACTTGTAATCTCTGCGCAATGAGTTATTGTTGATGCTAGGTAATATGTAAAAAATCCTACAAAAAAGATTACTGAACGCTATTTTTTCCATCGTCACGTGTGTGACTGTGAATGGAGTTAATGAATTATTGTTAATCGTATTACCTAAAAAATCCTACAAATAAGCCTACTGAATGCTATTTTTTCCATCATCTAATGTGTGAATGGAGTTATCTTTTCCCGAAGTATGCTGCTCTATTAAATGGTTTTATATCTTGACTAAATATGCTCACAAAGGGACCAAGTACTATGAACTAATTATTGATTTATCTTTTCATTTCATTTTAATTTTTGCAATTTCATAACCTGCATTCTGAGAAACTTGTGCACATTGACACAACTTTTGTTTGAACAGCTCTCTTCAAACTCTATGTTCCATAAAATCTAATCTTACTACAGACCAAAAGGTTGTAGATTCGTCTCTGTTGCCACTATGTTACAAATTGTCAATACATCCTTTAAAATCTACGAGCACTCGCTAAATCATTATAGTTTTGAGTATCTTCTTTTCTCTGATGCAAAAATAATTAAGAAGTGAAAATTTCTTTCTTTTTCATTATTGCAGCTATTTCTTGCACGTTTAAATATTATTATGCTTAATAAGTTTTCTTTTTGATGTAGACTCTGTTTTGTGTAGAAAGTTATGTCTCTTTGCTAGGATACAGAATGTGATAAAATTGTCAAGCGTGTGTTAGGCAGCTACACTTATATACCATCAGATGATACAAGCACAAAATATGTTTAATTATATATGATTGGGACAAGTAGGGGGCGCGACTGTAGTTCACTCTCAACCAAAAAGTTGCTTATGGATGCTGGATTAAACTTCCAGAGATATCAACCACATATATATCTTAACCATATAATTCTTAAATTGCTTTTTACTTTGTTCCATGTTTGTAGCTCTAACTTTGAGTTCTGTACATACTGAATATATTATGTTATAGAAGATTTGTTCACAGACTATGCATATTAACTTGTTGCCTTGCATGCTTATTGCAGTTACTTGTTGATATTGGATCGAACAAACTGGAGGACAAATATGCTGACTTCACTTTTAATCCCTTATATTTTCTTTAGCCTTCCTTCGTTGTTGTTCAACGTGCTAAGGTCATTATCTCTACTCTATTTCTGTAATTCTATTTTCCTTTTCTCATAGAAATTGATGTACTGGATAAATATGTCTCACTATTGTTCAGAGGAGAAGTTGGAAAATGGATTGCCTTCATTGCAGTTGTACTCAGACTCTTCTTCCCACGACATTTCCCAGGCAATGTTCTAATTTCAAATTCTATTTTTCAGCAATTGGCTTATTATACAGAGTGTGATCTGTTCTCATCAAATAAGTCCACTATGGTTGTTGGTATTAGTTTTCGCTGTAAGTGTAGTTTTTTATTACCTGTAATTCTATATCCAGGCTTTGCTTTTGCCATTGAAAATTGAATTTTCATATAAATTTTTCTAAGTTTACAAATTTGAGATTGAATTCCCTCTTATTCTTAAATGTTATGAAACCTAATAACCATAATGGAAAGAATCCTATCAGGATATTATAATGCTATCTTTTACTGGTGATATTGGGTGCAAAGAAGTGATACAGTAATGAAGCACTTGTACATCTACTGTGTCCGATCATAATCCTACAAGCTGCAGCCGTGCTGAAGTTATAAACATGTGCCGTTCCTCAACTTCTAATTTTTTCAAACGTATTTAGTTGCTCACTGTAGAGTGGGACCAGTGTTAGTGATCAAGATTTAGTTTCAAGGAGTTACTCCATAGTTTTATTACTCTCGCAGCATATGATCACATGTGATATCAAAATCAGTATATCTCATTCTTGCGGTGCATGGGATAATTAGTGTAATTAAAATGATCAAAAGAAGTGAGAGGTATAGAACTGGTCTGCCGCTGCCATTATTTCAACCGGTAAATTTAGGGTGTTCTTCATTACTCAATGGAATTTGGCAAGGGGCCATTGCTTGGTGCACCTTTAAAATGCTCAGACTGTAAGCATGAGAATACAGATTCATACAGAGTGTGATCTGTTCTCGTCAAATAAATCCACTATGGTTGTTGGTATTGGTTTGCATTGTAAATTTAGTTTTTTATTACCTGTAATTCTTTATCCAGGCTTTGCTTTTGCCATTGAAAATGTAATTTTCATATGAATTTTGCTAAGTTAACAAATTTGAGGTTGAATTCCCTCTCATTCCTAAATGTTATGAAACTTAATAACCATAATGGAATGAATCCTATCAGGATACTAAAAGGCAAAAAAGTGATGCAATAAAGAAGCACCTGTACATCATCTACTATGTCCGATCATAATCTTACAAGCTGCAGCTATGCTGAAGTTATAAACATGTGCTGTTCCTCCACTTCTAAATTTGCTCAAACGTATTTAGTTCTCACTGAAGAGGTGGACCAGTATTAGTGATCAAGATTTAGTTTCAAGGAGTTACTCCATGGTTTTATTCTCTCCAAGCATATGATCACATGTGATATCAAAGTCAGTATACTCCTTCATATCTCATTCTTGCGGGGCATGGGATAATTAGTGTTATTTTTTAATTAAAATTATCCAAAGAAGTGAGAGGTATAGAACTGGTCTGCCGCTGCCATTATTTCAACCGATAAATTTAGGTTGTTCCTCATTACACAATGGAATTTGGCAAGAGGCCATTGCTTGGTGCACCTTTAAAATGCTCAGACTGTAAGCATGAGAATACAGATTCAAATCCTGAGAACACTCACTCTGTGGAAATAATGTCAATGGTTAGGTTTGTATCCAGTACACCCCTCCTAACATGACTGATGACAATGGAATCTGGTGATCATTCACTTGCGTTTCCATTATTATGAAATTTTGATTCGTTAGTGTTTCAGTAGTTGTTCCAAATTTCCAATTTATTGCATATTGTGGCCTTTTTATCAAGCACATTATTCTTCCTTTTTCCGAAGAGAACTGTCTTCCTCCTTTCATATAAACTCCGTTTCTTGCCATCTTTGCCTTATTTAGTCCCATTTATGAGCTATACGAATTTTGCGTGCATCAAAATTTAATAATTCATTTGCTAACTTACAACATAGAAAGCGTTACACTTTTGTGCCACATTGATGTGTTAATGATACAGTGCCTCTTTTGTGATGTTGATTAATTGACCAATTGCAGATTGGCTGGAGATGCCTGGGTCGTTGATTCTTCTTTTGGTGGTTGCTCCCAGCTTTTTCGCAAGCACCCTGAGGGACAATTTGGTCGGCATCGTGATATGTCTCCTCATTGGTTGTTACCTGCTGCAAGAACACATTCGGGCGTCCGGTGGATTCAGAAATTCATTCACACAAACCCATGGGATATCAAATACAGTTGGGATTATCCTTCTGTTAGTCTATCCAGTGTGGGCACTGGTACTTTACTTCATCTAGAGATCATTCATGCTGCAAATTAAGTAATGAACTTGTTACTAGTTTCATATATGTTAGACAAACAAATTCATTAGTTGCAATGACCTTTGTTTTATTTGTTTAAAACTCAAGCTTTTAGATTGAATCCTGTGAAATGTAGAAAAACTGTGTGCGTCCGTTTACATTGGGTGCTTTATTGGTGTTATTTGATTGAGTTGCAATATGCCAATATGTACATATTAGCTCTGGTGGGCTAAATGAATTATGTAAGAGAAATTATTGTATGTCTTCCACCAATCACATGATGACACGAAAGCAAAATGTAGAATAAAGTTGATACAAAGCTGATGCATTTGTTTACGTATCCATTATTGATTGGCCCGAGATCGTCTCCCACTCCCTGACCTGGTAGGGAAGGAACAAAATTGAAGGGTGAAAAACTTTAGGAAAAAAAATAAAATTTGAAGGGCGAAAGACCCTAAGGTGGGTTGATTACAGATTCTAAGGCCCTTTAAAAGCAATATTATTCAATATTTTACTAAATTGTTCCTACCCCAAAAAGGAGCATCAAAACCGTACCTCCCTAATAATGTGGTCAAGAAAACTACCTTTTCAGTTGGTCAAGGACACTCCTTTTCCTTTTTTAACTCCGTCAACTTTATAAAAATCTAAGTCACAGTGATTTGCTGGAATTATGAATATTCACCATTGTATACAAAATAATTAATATTTGATACTCGTATTTGTAAATGGTAAGGGTTGGTGATTCAGTTGGAGTGAAAAGGAAGTATACAAAAAGAAGAAAGAAAATATATGGAAACAAGAATTATTTTGTTTACCGAAAAAAAAAGAAAAATAATAATTTGATGGTAGGTCTTTGTGATTCAGTTGAAGTGAAAAAGGAAGCATACAAAGATAGATGAAAGAAAAGAGATGAGAACGAAAGAGATTTTTTCTTGAGAGTAGTAGAGATAAAAGAGGTTGTAATAGTTGAGATTAATTTTGTCATTTGATTCATAAATAAATAAAAGTGGAGCGGCTATGTATAAATTTGGAGTTCCAATAAAAACTCCCTTTATATTTGTCCAAATGCATTAAAATTTGCCCTCTTTTTTTTTTTAATTTTAAATTTGCCCTTTTTTTTTTTTTTCTTTTTCTTTGTTTATTAGGGTTAGTCGCCATAAAAATTCATTTGATCTAAAAAAAAAATTAAATAAATAAAATTGCGTATCTCTCCTTGTATTAAAATTTTAGCCGATAACTACCTTGAAATTCCAAAAAAATTGTATGACACCGTTAAAAATAAATACCTAAACTATTGAAATTGAAATTGAAACTGAAATTTATCTATCACTATAAATTGCATAAAACTCTTTTGAATTATTAAAAAAAAAAAAAAATTGAATATTAGGAATTTAAAGGGAATTACAATCCTAATTTTTATAATTCAAGATTTTTTTTATTTTTATTTTATAATTCAAGATGGTTTAGAAGTATCTCCACCAGTATGTTAAAATATCATTTTGTGTAAAATATATAGTGCCATCTATGATGTGTAAATTTTTTCTATCTCCAGCCATCTGTTAACCTACATTACTACATCAAAATACACAACATTTTTACACGGCCAAATCAATATATTTCCTTTTTCATCCATCTTTCTCATTTCATTAAAAGAATCAATCATATATTAAGTAAGTTTGTAAAAATTATGTGAGTCTGACATGTATATGTGGGTCCTAATATAACACATGGTTGATTGTTATTGGAAGATAAATTTTTACACAAAAAGTATAAAACAATCGTTGGAGTTAAAATTAAATAATTCAAAATTTTTATGTAAATTCATCACCACAATTAAATCAATTAAGCTTTACAGTTGGAGATGCTCTTACGCAATTAAACTTCACCACAATTAATAAGGCCTAATAATAACATTTGTAAGGCCATATGTTTAATTAAATCAATAATTTAAGGCATTAATTAAATCAATATGGTAACTGTAAAGAAAAAGAAAAAGAGTTCGATTACATTGAGGTGGTGGTATTATAGTAATTAAAAAGGGTGGAAGCGAAACCCTAACCAAACCCTAGAAGTTACTTGTTGCCTATATAATAAGACACAAGCACTCTTGGTTTATGCCGTCCGGAGTCCGGAGCGTAGCCTCCTACTGTTTCCTCTTTATACACTCCTCATTAGTTTTCAGGTACTTCAATCATTTACTGGTCCGTCCTTCCTTTGTATCTTCAATATATATATATATATATATATATATTTAAACTGCAAGAGCAATCATTCTTGTTTTGATTTCGATTCATCATGATTTTTTGGTTATTTTTATAGTTATCTTTTTTCTGCAACTTTTTATGTGATTTTTATTGTATTTTAGTTTATTTTATTTTTCTGTATTGAAAAGGGGATTGTGGTTCTCGGTGATGAATAAATGTTTAAGATGACGAGTCCGATCATCCATTCAATCATGACGACCAATCGAGGCATTTGTCTGAGAGAAACCCTTCTTATTATTATTATTATTATTTTTTTTCTTTTAATTTTTTAGATTCTCGATTATGTTATACATGTTATATATATATATTGGTTGGAGAGTGGGCATAATGATGATAATTGGTTTTCTGAAGTTTGATTGATTGAATAAACTAACCTCCTACTCATTCTGAATGCCTACAACAAATCTCCATCATTCACCATTTAAATCTATGTTTGGGCTCAGCCTCAGCCTCAGCCTCAGTTAGGGTTTTTAATTGGTTAAGCATAAAATTCAGCGTCATTTTATTTGTTAATTATGGGGAAGTAATATTTGTTAGTTTATATTATTATTTTGTGGGGCACATAATTTTGTTTAATAAAAAACTTAAACAAAACATTATTTTCCAATCATAATTTCAATTCGAAACAGAGGATGACGTGGCTATGATGAGAAGAAGAACTCTCAATATCTATTATTCATGGAGGACACTCTACCGATGACTTTTCTTCAAGCACTTTTGAGCCATGCTCCTCTATCTCTATGTAATTATATATATATATATATATATATATATATATAATTACATATATATCTATCTCTATGTATATATCTCTATTCTAATTTAAAACTCTTGAATATTGGAGGATGATTGGAATTAAGGGCCTAAGGAAAAAAACTAGTTAAACTTTAATTTTAATTATTTGTTTTATTTAGTAAATGATTATTAATAAATAATTCTTAGACCACAGCTGCTGTTTTGTACATTGATGAGAGTTCGATCTTTCATAAGTTTTGTCGGTAATAATCCTGAATCCTTCATTTCATAAACCTATATTAAAAAATAAAAATGTATAAACTCAGTCAACATGTAGTGGAGTGGAAGATAAAAAAAAAAAAGGCCCTCAAAAAGGCATTTTGAGGACTGATTGGAAAACCGGATTCATCCAAAGTCCATCCATTAAACAGGGTCCATCCAAAGAATGGATGGCCCAACTTGCTCTCAAGCTTGATCAAAATTATTTTTTAAAATTAAAAAAATACCCTTTAATTTTCTTATTCACCCTCTCTTCCATAAAAAAAAAAAAAAATACTTACAAAATATAAGAACCAAAATATTAATTGATAATATTTTTTGCACACATTGTATTCATAAAAGTACAAGAATTAATTTAAATTGGAAGTGAGAGAAAAGTGAGAAGAGAAAAGAGAATTTAACTTTTTAAAAGAAAAGGAAAGTACAGAAAGTTGGAGGGTAAAAGGAAAAAAAGGAAAAGAAAAAAAACGAGATAATGTGGTGGTGAATCTGGTGATAGAGAAGGATGTGTTGTTGAGTAAAAGAAGAAGAAGGAAAGTATGGTTATGATTTTAGAGACTTTGGTCTAAATTTGGCGATGCAAGTAGTTCAATGGGGTTTCCAAAAAGTGGGCTCGAGATTTTGGGTAGCCCAAAACGGTGACCTTGTTGGCAATTGCGGGCCTGTCTTGCTTGGGCCCGCCTGCTTTATTTTTTTAATACTATAACCCAGAATTAATTTTAAGGGCAGTGTTTGGCCTGGTAAAAATTCCAAAAATCAGTTTATTTTATTTTATTTTTTATTTTTAACATAACTAAACCAAAGAGCTCTTAAGGCCTTAAAAGTTTTTTTGGGCAAAACAAAAGTAAAAAAAAAATGGAGAAAAGTGATTTTTATTTTTTTCAATCACACTAATGATAATATACTCCGTTAAGGCATATTGGCACAAAAGTATATTTTTGAATTTCTTTTAAAAAAATTTATTATAATTTTTAAATTCATATTATATTGTGTTGTTTTAATTTTTATAATTCATAATAAATATTGTATTGTTTATTATTATTATTATTTTTTGTATGATACAGCAGAAATGCACCATTAGAATACATGCGATAACTAAATTTTGGAGACTCTAAAATATTAACGTGCCTATGAGTAATGCTGACGTGACTCTAAGAAACGTGATTAAAGATGCTCTAAGAAATGGCAAACAAAAAGTATTAAAAACAGTTGTCTTGTTTAGGGCTCATTTTAGGAGAATAAGAGCATCTCCAATGACATTTCTAAAATTTGGATTTTCAAATTTGCCAAATCAGTATTTTATAATAACCTTGTCAGCAGTTCCAAGAGTGACATAACCGTTTTGGACTCTCTAAATTTTGCTATCGCAACATGCTCCAATGGTACGTTTTCACTCTTCAAAAATTTAAAAATTTAAAAATTTTCAAAAAATTTAATAAATTGTTTTTTTTTTTTTTTTTTGACGGCTACATCAAACACAAAATATTAAACAATATAATATTTATTATGGATTAGAAAAATTTAAACAATATGATATGATTTTTTTTTTTTTTTAAAAAAACAAATAATACAATACCATTATTAAAATCAACTAGGAAAAAAGAACAACCATATGACACTTTTCTCCTTTTTTATTTTTTATAGAACAATTTTATGACACAATTATATACAAAAAAAAAAAAATTATATTAAAAAAAACACTTTTCTCCTTTTTTATTTTTTATTTTTATAGAACAATCATATGAGACAATCATATACAATAAAAAAAATTATATTTAAAAAACTTTTCTCCTTTAAATTTTTATTTATTTTTTGCCAAGGCATTGTTTGTGTAAACCGAACAATTCCTTAACGGCTCTTTGGTTTAATTGCATTGAGGAAAAAAAAAGAAAAAAAAAAAAAGAAGAAGAATAAAAAAAGGGCCAAAAAAAACCCAAAAAACTAGTTTATATATTTATTTTTTCCGGTCAAACGTGCCCTTAACCCAATTATGGGTCAAGGGCTATAGGGATTTGGGCTAAAAACAAACAAATAAATAAATGCAGGTAGGCCTGTACAAGACAGGTCCGCAATCGCCAATTGACCGTTTTTGGTGACCCATTCTGCGACATAATAAATTGGGCTCACTTTTCAACGAGTCTGTTGGACTGCCTAAGTGGCTAAAATAGGTCCAAAATCTCTAAAAATGGTACCATCGGAGATACTCTAAGAAAGTGGAATGCCTTAACACCAATATCACAACCTTATATAAATCTTTTCTCTCTGCTATTTGGTATTATAAATTTTAAATAAAAATAATAATTATTTTAGCATTTTTTTCCTTTTAATTTTGAATTATCCCAGTTATATTTTCAAATGAGAGATGCCTGACTAACATGACTCAGAAAAGAAAACCCTTCCTAAAGAACAAAGATGGGATTCGAACTTGGATTGCCCCACCATCATCTGAGAGTATCTTTATCCTAATCACCAACTTTGCCACGTGGCGTGACAGAAACGAATGACAGAAGCTCAGAGCAACCAATGAAACATGACCTTATCCTATCCCTTATCTTACTTACACCAAAGCCAAACTACCAAAATAATTTGATCACCCTCTTCCCACAAAACACCTTTCAGTCTCACTAATCTCATGTCATACTACTAGGCTTCAAAAGGGTTGCCTAGAGAGAGAAAGAGGGTGTGTAATTAAGAGAGAGAGAACAATGGCTGCCTCATTACAAGCAGCGGCTACGCTGATGCAACCCACCAAGGTGGGCCGAGTCAACCTACAGCAGCAGCTGAGGTCCTCACAGAGAGTGTGCAAGGCCTTTGGGGTCGAACCCTCTGGTGGTGCCAGGCTCACTTGCTCTCTACAGTCCGATCTCAAGGATTTGGCTCAAAAGTGTGCCGATGCCACCAAGATTGCTGGCTTTGCTCTTGCTACTTCTGCGCTTGTTGTCTCGGTATGTGGCTCCCCTCATTCACTCAATTTTGTGATGTCTCCATTAATTTCTCTCATTCACTGAATTTTGAGATGCGACCACTAATTCCCCTCAATAATTTCTAGGGCTGTGTTAAGTATGGTCGCAACTGTGCAAGCTCAGTCCCGTGGATCATGTGAGTCCCACTTGATCCACACATTATTCATAAGTTATGAAGCACTTGTATAAAAAAAAAAAAAAATCATTTTGCCCATGTCACTGTCATAAATTAATCAATAATTTAGAGCTTCGAAATGGATGATGTTATATATAGTTTTCTAATTTTTTTTTTATATTATTTTCTTAATTAACTCATAATATGTTTTATAATTGCATTAGAACTATTTTTTTTTTTTTTTAAAAAAAAAAAAATTACCTTGCCAAGTCAAAAATCCCAAACGTGTCCGCATTGTGTCTATTCTGTGTCCAAACAAGAAATGAAATATTCAAATTACCGGACTCTCTTAGTCATGGTTGTGACATGTGTCCGGCCATGTCCAATGGGCAAGCACGGTATGAATTGAAACATGGGATTCAAAGCAGCCGATTCCAAATAACTGGGAAAAGGCTTGGCGGTGGTTGTTATTGTTGTGGGCACTTGTATAGATCAAGTTTTGATAGTTAAAAGCTATGACAAAGGGTGCACCAAGTGTTGTCAATGTAGGTTATGCATCGAGAGACCTACTCTTTGAATGGCAAAATTATGCTTTGAGCGCATTTACGAATATTGGCGCTGTTATGCTGATTGAAGAGATTAATTTGCAGATATCATCATCTTGTTGCAGCAAGCTTAGTCCTTTCCATCTTATTCAGTTGTATGAATTTTCATTTTTGTTTTTGTGAGAAAGATACTAATTTGTGCATCTTGTGGATGGTCTCTTGATTTACTTACAGGGAGCAACTGCTGAAGGAGTTCCAAAAAGGCTAACCTATGACGAAATCCAGAGCAAGACATACCTTGAAGTGAAGGGAACTGGTACTGCTAACCAATGCCCAACCATTGATACTGGATCCGGCAGCTTTGCCTTCAAGCCCGGCAAATACAATATGAAGAAGCTCTGCTTGGAACCAACATCTTTTACTGTAAAGGCTGAGGGTGTGAGCAAGAATGCCCCACCGGAGTTTCAAAAAACCAAGCTCATGACTCGCCTAACCTACACCCTTGATGAGATTGAGGGACCCTTTGAAGTATCTCCCGATGGCAAAGTCAAGTTTGAGGAGAAAGACGGAATCGACTACGCAGCTGTCACGGTTCAGCTGCCTGGTGGCGAGCGCGTACCCTTCCTCTTCACCATCAAACAGCTGGTGGCGTCTGGCAAACCGGAGAGCTTTGGTGGAGAGTTTCTTGTACCATCATACCGGGGTTCATCTTTCTTGGACCCAAAGGGAAGGGGTGGTTCTACTGGTTATGACAACGCGGTTGCGTTGCCAGCAGGAGGAAGAGGAGATGAGGAGGAGCTTGTTAAGGAGAACATAAAAAATACTGCATCATCGACAGGGAAGATTACTCTGAGTGTAACTGACAGCAAGCCTGATAGTGGAGAGCTGATTGGAGTATTCGAGAGCATTCAGCCTTCTGATACTGATCTGGGCGCAAAGGTTCCAAAAGAAGTGAAGATCCAAGGAATCTGGTATGCTCAACTCGAGTAATAGTGAATTTTTAGCATTGATTTACTTAAATCTCTTTCGTTCAGATTTTGTTATCAAGTTGAATTTGTTGTGAACTTTCCTGTAACCCTGCTAGAGAAGCATTGAACTAATATCTTTCTTGTATATTATTATGGCTGCTTATAATAAATTTTTGAGATTTTCATTTATATTTCTAGAGTATATCGATCTTTAGAAACCTGAACTGATGATTCTCCGCGCAAATTTAGTATCCTCAAGCAACACTTAGCATCTCACCATGATTACACTGTGTTTAGAGAAAATTTTAGTTCAATTTTGTGAGTTGCTTTTCTCCAATTCCTACCAAGCACAGGCTAAAAGACCAGTTGCATGGAATTAGAATTGGTGTAATTGGAGAAAAGCAGCTCACTAAATTGAACCAAATTTCTCAAATTCCAATTCTAATTCTAAAACTCAAATTTTATGCAGCCGAATACAACCTAAATATTTAAATATCATTTATAATTGATCCCCATCTTGTCTTAAATCCTGCTAAGACAAAGATGTGGAAAACAGCACGGCTCTGTTGCAGTTCTGCTGTCTCTTTATCAATTTCGCAGTTCCGAGGCCTCTCCCACCGTTTGCCAGCGACAAGGATATTGGATAACAATACATAATTTCTAAGTCAATTTCAAAAAAAAGTAATGATACGAGTCGAACACATTTAATTAAATATATTTACACACGTTATGCTAATATTATCATTTAATAACATAAAATATCCTGTTTATCATTATTTTTAAAAGAAATTGTTTACTGCAACTCATCCAAACAAAAGTGTTAATTTGATCAGCCCAAATATTGTATGAGGCTATATCAACTGGGGCTTTCCTTTCTAGGTGTCAAAGCATGAAAAATGGAGCATCCAACAAACAAGGCCTAAAGTTTCTTTTGACGGTATTTTTTCACTTCTTTGGACACAATGGTGTTAAATTGTTAATTGGTGGAAGGACTTTGTAAATTATTATTGCCAGACATGTCCTGCTGTGGACAGAACAAAGAATGTTCTGGTTTATTTACCACATTTTTATATCTCACTAATTTATTCATGTACTTTGAAAAAAATGTCTTAGAAAAATACTAGCCTAATTTTTTATTTTTATTTTATATGTAAAGTAAAACATAATATTATTTGAAAAAAAAAATGTAAAAACATACTACTATATGGATGCAAATCTTTTTTACTATTTATTCTTCTTTAATCTTTTGAGAGCAATTTTTATTTTTTTTGGAAATATATTTTCACGGAATTACACAAGTCTTGAAAATATCTTTCAAACTTTTGACTAGAAATCAAGATTAAGTACATTTGACAAATAGCACAATATATAACGTCATGTATTTTGTAGACTGCATATGGTTATGACCATGATTAATTAATTTATTATTTCTTAATTAGAAAAAAGAAGTGGGGTTAGACTTTATAGCCATTTTGAATGACTAAGATGTCGGCTTTGGCCGTCTAAAGTATCAATAAAAAAATCAAAACATAACATTAAGTCATTAAAATGGTGATAGAACCAATGTACATGTCAATCAATATTTAAATAGGAAGTGGGTATCAGAATTATGAAAAAAGGACGGTTATGGTTTAAGCTATGAAAAGGGATTGTAAAATAAATGGATGGAGAGAAAAAAATGGGAGTTTATCATCAATATAGTAAAGTACTCACCAAAATAATAGTTGTATGATTTTTTTGTAAGGTAGAATGTTTGTATGATGTAAGACTTATAAAAATATATTTTAAAATAATATATTTATTATTTATTACGAATTTTTAAAAGACATTTATGAAAATAAAAAACATTTTAAAAAGAAGTGTCCACAACTTCTCCAAACGTCAAGTATTCCCTCTACCATCACATAATCTCTTCTCTTTCATTAATTTACTTTAGATTACATTATTTAATCCTTATTAGTTCATTTTAGTAATTCGGTATAACTATGCCATTGAAAATGGATGGGTCAAGCTTGGGTTCTAACATTTATGAGAAGATTGACTTGGTTAATAAATTTTCTTAAATTTTTATATATTGAACTTGTTAACATTGAAAAAGAAAAAAACCCTATAAAACATGTGTTTGAAAGAAAAAGAAAAGAAAAAATTCTATCATGAATCTATTCAGGTTTATAATCAAACATTATTATTGACTCAACTTTATTCTATATTAAGGAAAAAAAAAAAAAAAAAAACTTTATTCTATATTAATTAATAAACAATAAGCACCCGAGCATAATTTAAACGAATCCAAACTGATACGTTGATGAACAAGACACTCGCGTAGTTTGATTTCCCACCGGTCATTTCCTCTCAGGAAATGAAAAACAATTCCCCCATTAAAGAAAGAGAGAGAGAGGGAAAGAGATAGAGAGGGGAAAGGAAAAGTCTTCTTCCCCTCATTTCCTCCTAAATCATTCTGTTTTTTTTCCTTCTGAGATATATCTTCCCATTCAGAATTCATGAAATTGCAGAGCGTTACTAAACTCATCGATTCTGAAATACAGTAATTAAGTCAATTCTATCACAATCCCATTAATTATTTTTTGTATTTTCCACAAGTGAACTGAATTGAATTGAATTGAATTTATTATGAGAAACGTGGCATGGCCGATACAGAGAATTGAATGGCCATGACGAGCTTTTTCAGAGTGGTTACATACGATTTTGGGTGTTGTGGAAGCAATAAACAACAACAACAACAACAACACTCACTCACTCACTCACATGCGAGAGAGAGATGGATGAGTTGCCTGGTGCTTTGGGGACGAGTGCCAGCTTGACTCTGCGATTGGGGCAGACCGTCTTCTCCATTGCTTCTCTTCTCTTCATGTGTTTGGATGTTGAGTTCTTCAATTTCACTGCTTTCTGGTAATTTCTGATTCCACTGCCTTAATCAGTCCTCAATTGGGTTTTTTTTTTTTTTTTTTTTTTTTTTTTTTTTTTTTTTTTTTTTTTTTTTCTCCTCTTAATCTTCAATACCCATTTCATAATTTCTGTTTTTCACTTCAATTCTCTCTCTTCTGGTTGCTGTTTGATTGATTCTTAGGTGGATTGCAGAGTGATAGACTCTCGTATCTTCTACAATTTTTCATATAATTTTTTGCGGCTAATTGGGAATTAAGAGATTCGTGATCATATAATTTAGGTTTATTGCAAAATTATTTGTTGACAATTCTATAAAAGAATTGAAGTTCGGGCAAATAATTGTGGAGTCACAAACATTTCAGTGGAAAATATCAAAATTAATGCCACTGAATTCTCTATTTAATTATTATTTTTTGTGTTTCCTGTTGGGAAAACTAACATATTAACAACTTAGTTGGGATATTTTTGAGGGGTATACCAAATAGAAAATAAGCTAAAAATGAGAAACCAGAAGAGACCAAGTTGCTTATGTCCTTTGAGTGTGAACCTAATCAATTAGACTGCTATGAAGAATGAGCAATATAATTGGAGTTATCTTGCCCCGCTGATGTATGTTTATCTGTATATTCTTTGTAATTGTAACTTTGGTGAACATTAACTCTCACCATCCAAAATTTTAAATATTAACAAAATCAAATACTCGGTATAGTATTTGATTTTCAGGTAATTACATGTGTACACTCGGGCTTCTTTGTAACAAGTGGTATAAACATTTATGTATTAGTGTAAGGTGTTTGGTAATCATTTGAAAGATTAGGTATGAAAGTTCTTGTGACTATTCGCCTAGGCCTTTTGGAAGAAGATTTATCCATATAGTGGATGAGAAGGAAAAGGCCAGTATTTTGTTTTTAATCAAGTATGGATACTTGGTATAGATGCAACTCATTACATGTGATACACATTGTGATTTGTTTCTTACAGAGATATGGGTGTGGTTTGAAGCTGCTAGGAAGACGAATAATGACACTGTTGGTGTTAGATCAATAGACCTGAGAAGTGCTTGATGGAACAGCTAGACTTGTGTTGGTATGAGTATAGAAACTTCACTTCTCGATATTAAATGAGGTGGATATAAATTTGTTAGTTAAGTTGCCATTTTGAAGATTTTACCAGTTCATTGGTGCTATAAAAGTAGTTTGAGTTGAGAGCCTGTGCAATCTATGCAGTCTTATAATGGAGAACATGGCTACTTCAAGATAAGCTGGTGATTTTGCTAAAGTACTTGTTTGTAAGGTAAGTATGAATATATATATATATATTTTTAGTAATTAAGATTTCATTAACCAACTATTAAGTAGAATAGTGGGAGAGGGGCAAATTACTCGGGTATAATGGAGTTAATTACCATACTCGTTCAATCAGAAAAGTTCAAGGGACACGCCTCAAAACACTAGGGCAGTGTAACATTGTGGCATTATAAAGGTTTCTAAACTATGTGATGAAGGTTGAGAGCGTTTGAGGAAAGGTTGAACATACTCATCTTACTGAATATAGGCAAATTATGTGGGTATAATGGAATTATTTACTGAACTGGTTCAATCAGAAAAGTTTGAGGGATATTGCTATCTGAAAACATTAGGGCAGGGTCACATTGTGTCATTGTAAAGATTCTAAACCGTACTATGAAGGTTAAGAGCGTTGATTTTGGGGTGAGCTAGATTTACCCCATTATAAAGTTATTAAACTACTGCTATGAAGGTTGAGAGCATTGATTTTAGTGATACTTAGATTTACCACATTATTTTAATGTCTCTCTAGGAAAGTTCATCCTTTTTTGATGAGGCAGTTTGAAAAGGTCAAATCTTGCTATAAATGCCTGCTTCCCCTCACCCACATTGTTGCAACCAAAATGATAACACTGCTGTTAAGAAAGGTTTCTCAGGGATTAAGGAGATAAGTTCCCGTTTCAAGTTTTCAGTAATTCCTCTCTTAAATATCTGAACTTTTGTCTTGTCAAATTGTTCGTGGATGTAGCATTGTTTTGGATGAACGATGTGATTGAATAGTACTTTAATTGCCAACCAACAAAGGGAAAAAAGAAAAAGAATGGTACTTAATAAAGTCTTGCAACTGATCCTTTGATTTTACAGGGTCCTGCTGCATGCTATCAACAAAGCTATATTCAGATAGGCATTTACAAATGTAAATATGGAATTTCTATGTGCTATTAGAAACCAATAATTGGTTTGGTTTTAATTTCTCTATAAGACTATATCCAGATAGGCATTTATAAATGTGAATATGGAATTTCTACATGCTAGTATGCTACTAGAAAACAATTAATGGTTTGGTTTTAGTTTCACCGATGCTATGTGAAAGAAAAACCTTGATATTTGTGATCATTTGATAAACCATTTTTTGAAATTGATAAGCTGAATCACTTCTCAAAATAGTTGGACTCACAAATCTCCCTACTGTAACTCTAGAGAAGGGATATCACATCTTGCGTTTAGCCCTTAGTATTTGAAGCATGCAAGCCTTGTGGAATTCACTTGAGAATGACTAGCATCACAGCATTTTTAACTATTATCCTTCCTCTCTCTCTCTCTCTCTCTCTCTCTCTCTCTCTCTCTCTCTCGTTTATTTATTGCTTTATTTTTAATATTATATATTTTCTTTTTGATAGTTGGGGAGCGGGAGATGGGTTGTTTTGAGGATTTTTTCAAAATTGGGAGTAGGAATGACACATTTTGAATTATCACAAGTCATCCCCTTTCTCAAGTTTCTATGACAGTTGCATTCCTGTTGTTGTTGTTGTATTTTTTTTTTTTTTTTTACCATTTTCATTTTTCTGCTTGATGGTAAGCTGAAGTTATTTCGATGGGATTGATCTGAACGCACCACTGAGTTACAGGGAGATGATTTTGTTTCTTATTTCTGAAGCTTTTTATTGTTCAATTATTTTTGCAGCTTTTTGGTAACAATCATGGGTTTAGTGATTCCATGGAGCTTGACCTTGGCACTGGTGGATGCCTACTCTATCTTTGTCAGACGTCCAGCTCGTCAACCAGGAATAATATCAATAATCGTTATAGGAGATTGGGTACCTACCTCATTTGATTCACTAACAACCTTCAAGTTTCGAATATCTTCTTTCGTACTAAATAAAAAACGTTGTTGTATATCACAGGTTCTGTCGTTTTTGTCACTTGCCGCAGGCTGCTCAACAGCTAGCGTGACTGAGGTCCTGATTGCTTCTGGCAGGTCCTTCTGTGGTGGAAAGTTATGCAACAGATATCAACTTTCAGCTGCTATGACCTTCTTGTCTTGGTTTCTATCACTTGCATCCTCTCTCTTCAATCTCTGGCTTCTCCCTTCTTTGTAGTTAGTATGAATCTGTCTAGCTAATGCCATCTATATAGAAAAGAAATCAAATCAAATGGGTTACACAGAAAAAATCTTGGTTGCTTGGGCTTCAATATTGTAGGGTGAGTGTTCAATATACAGCTAATTCTTCTGACAAGGATGGTGGATTTTGAGTATAAACGAGGGAAATAAAGTCAGGGTCAGTTGAAGAACTCAACTTATTCCTAAATAGAGATTAAAAATGATACCATGACCTGGGGGGTTGCTTCCTAATTCAAAACCCAAAAATTAGGGTTAGAAAGATAATGTACTAGTTAAACACTTCGATTATTTAGGTGAGGTCTTAAAACACTGATTTACCTTCATCTATAACAGAGACTATATTTCCCTATAACTGCCTCTATTGCTACCAATTTGCTACTAACTCTTCCTTTGTTGCTCAGTAGTACTTCACCACACCCCTATTTGATATGAGCACAGTACTGTGGATCTGCACTTTCTTCTTCTTCTTCTTCTTAGCTGTTGTTAGCAACTAGTGCGACGGTTTACTAGCACGATATGAGATTGTTGAACTTGTTTAACAAGTAAGCAAGATCTGAAGTTTCATTGGGAAGAAAGCAGCCTTTTTTTGTGGCAACCAGGTTGTGTTTAACCAGAAATTATTCCATTCAAGTCGAGTCACTTGGGCATCACAAGCAAGAAAAAGTTGTGACTCACCCTATTTTGGTTCAATTTTCAGACAAAGGATGAAAATCAGTAGGGTGGTTTTTGTCTTCCCATGTAAAATAGATCCTTTGGATAGTGAAGAATTCCTGAAGAACTATGCAGAATGCCAGATTCTAAACCTGAATCTTAGGGTTTGTCCAAGTAAATTTGAACCGGCTCATTCATAATTTCTATTTTTAATTTTATTTTCTGAAAATATTTGGCTCATTCATATTCTTTACAACTTTTTATGCAGAATATCGTGTCACCTTGAATGCAATCTTTTTGAAAATAAAGGCCACCATATCTTGAAGTTTGACAAACGTCAAGATTTTAGGCATCATTTTAATGGCTGCGTTTTCAGGTGATAGACAAAATGGCAAATCAGACCCTTTGATTCTTAAACCAAACGGAATAAATAAAATAAACTCCAAACAAACCATGATGTGATTGGTCACAATCCTTTTTTGATAATCAAACGAAGAAATGGAAAGTGAACAGGAATTTACAGTTCAATGCGACATAGAATTTGACCTCCATTGTTGTCACCTGTGAATGTTACGTTTTGGGCAGAGGCAGCCATGTAAAATTACTTTTTGAATAGAAATTGATGTAGTCTCGAGACAGAGGTCCCTCTCAACTCTTGGGATAAAGGCATTCACTGTTACACACGCAAAAATAAATAAATAAAATAATAATTAAATAAATAAAAAATTTAAGAGATGATAAATTTTCCATACTTTTCCATGATAATTTTCCAAGGCTCTTCCAAATATGATCAACATAAACTCAAATTAGTGTAATTGTTGTGACAATATTTTATAGGTCTAATAGGATATCTGGATGAGATTACATATTAACGCTCTGTAAAATAATTATTTTTAGATAATTTTTTCAAGTGAGGGATGATTCGATTCAAGTTGACCAATAGGCAGGGGCGGAACCAATATATTCCCGGGGGCACGTGCCCCTCCTAGCTTGACCCCGCTTACTATAACATGTATATTAAATTTATATATTTTTATACACACACATATATATATGAAAAAATTCATATAATGCTTCCCTTAAAATTTTTATTTTCTAAAAGTATCTCTTAAATTTTGTATTTCTTCTCTTTTTTACTCTTTAAATTCGTTTAATTTTCTTTAAAAAAACTCAAATTTTCCTTTTTGAATCAAATTCCAATTTTTTTTCCTTTTAAAATTCTCTAATTTTTCTTTCCTTTTTAAATTTTATGTTAATTATTTATGTTTCTTAAATTAATCATTGATTGACATATTATTTTGAGTAATTTTTCTTCTTTGTCATTTAAATTATGAACTGCTTTTCTATTTTTTTTTTTTTCTTTTTTTTTTTTTTACGTTGTGCCCCTGAATTAATTTCTGGTGTCCAAATCGACCCCGCAAATGTTGAATCGGAATCGAGAAGGGCTTCGAGGAGAGATCTCTTGCCATCAAACTGCCTGCCGAGAGTGACAATCACGGGGATCAGTAACTTCTCACCAAAGGCCACATCGACTACTTGTAGGCAATTGCTTGAATCGGTTCTTGAATTTTGAAGCTGATCAGATGGAAAGGTGATGGGTATGTTGATCAGTGATGTTCCCGAAATACTGAGGAAGTCGTGGATTTTTCAAGGTAAAATATTTTATTTTTATTTTTTGATATTTAACAAAAATTAGGTGGAGTTCGCCAAGCGAAGATATAAAATAAATTGTCGAAAATTGGTGAATAAATTATTTTAATTAAGTTTTAATATATTTTTTTCTTTGCCAAAATTTTATTTTTCAGTCCTCTCTGGTGCGGTACTTAATTTTTATTTTTCAGTCCTCTCTGGTGCGGTACTTAATTAGAGTTGAAACAAACGGTTTAAAAGACAGTCTCCTACTCCTGTTAAAACTAGAATTTAAGGAAGTTTCCAAATCCATTATCCCAAAGTTACCAATTTGATTCCTATTGGGATTTTATTACACTAACCCATACTATAAAAAGCTTACAGAAACAAGCCCATTATTGTAGTGCAAGAAAGAGCCTGAGTACTAAAATCGATCGTTCTCTACTCATCTTTTACTCTCAAATCAATTGGTTTTCTAATTTCGCAAGATGGTAAATAATTATCCACCTTGGTTTTTAACCTTCTTGGGAAGCCCTTTTTACCAACAATGTCAGAAACACAACGATTACTTCACCAACTTTTGCTTCAACTGTATGTGCCAAGTTTTTTGCGACAATTGTATGAAGACTGGACACAAAGGTCATCGTCATCTCCGAGTAAGTCTTATCTTTATATTGCAATTGTTTTTAAAATTTGTTTATTTATTATTAGTATTATTATTATTATTATTATTTTATTAAATAAATCACACACATGCACCTATTTTTGTTTTATTGAAAACTCAACCCTCAATTATTAATTTTTTTTTTTTCCCTTTCTTGGCAGGTTCGCAGAGCATCTTACCAAGCTTGTATTCAAGTTAATGAAATTTCTAAGTATTTCGATGTTTCTGACATACACAAGTTCAGTGTAAATGGAAAAGATATTGTATTTCTCAACCCAAGAAATCAAAGTGGGCAAAAAAGATATTATAACAAGTGTTTGACATGCGGTTACTATCTCGAATCATCATCCATATTCTGTTCAATCTCTTGTAAAGTAAGATTCATTATCACTCAGTAATTTTGAAAATATGATTGGCATGGTTGATTTCTAACATGTTAATTGACAATAAATTTTGGTGGCAGATTAAAGGTACCGAAGATAATCAAGATCCTAACTTCTTCAGGAAAAAATCCGAAAGAAGAATAAAGCATCAAGATGTCAAATCATTCAGAAAAAAACTCAGAAAAGGCGTACACCGCCGACCCGAAAGAGCTCCGATGTTTTGATCAATAAATATGTTCAAATTAATTTAGTTTTATGATATTATGTATGGCAAAGCCAATGTGCTTATCAATATGTTCATTGATTTACGATGTTTATATATATATATATATATATATATATTTACAAATGATGATGTTTATATTGATTTACTTTTTATGTGAATGTGTTTGACCAAACACCCGAACCCAATTCCTACTTTAAATAGTTCCATGTGACATTAAAATCTGACTTCCCTTCTTGTCACCTGTGAAAGTAACTTTTGGGCTGAGGCAGTAAAGTACAATTATTTTTTGAATAGAAATTGATGTAGTCTTGACACATTTTAGAGGCCCCTATTCAACTCTTTGGATGAAGACATTCAATGGGCCTCAAAAAATTACGGAGTAATAAATTTGTACATAATTTTTTTATATATATACATAAAAAAAAAAATAACATATTATGCTTTGAGAGAAGCTGCCTTGGTGAAAATTCAGTAGATACTCTTTCAAGCGCAAGCTTCAATTATGTGATTTTTATGTGTGACCATTATGGGATAATTCTTTCTAATGGGTAAGATGGACCAAGTAAATAATGACACCTGTTTAAATTTAATATATAATTAAGGGTAAAGTGCAAATAACCCTCCTGTACTATTGACAAATTGCAACTAACCCCCCTAAATTAAAAAAAAACCCCTAAACTATGAATTTGTTGCATTTCAGTCCATTCAGGTGACCGACTTAACCGGAAAAATAAAAAGTCTGAATTGCCCTTATGATTATTCACTACTGTATAAGGTATATAAAAATATATGCGTTTATATATATATATATATATATATATATATATATATATATTTCTGGTTTTAAACTGAATTTATATATATGTGTTTATATATATATATAACATTGGAGATTGAAGAGAGAGAGAAGCATCAGGCTGGAGATTGAATCATGAAGAAAATGAAGGAAAAAGATGGTGGCGGCGGCGGCGATTATGGTGACGGAAGAGGAGGTAAGTCGGCGATTATGGTGACGATGCGGAGTCGACGCGTCAAAACCCAAATCATCCTCGTCGCCGCTGGGATCTCGCTGCCGTCATCTCCTGCGCTTGCCCCGCCACCGTCTCTTGCGGTGACAGCTGGAACGAGCTCGGATGGTGGAGAGGACCGGCGAGCAAGGTGGGCTGAACGGCAATGGGCTGGTTCGGCCATGGTTAACTCGCGGCGATGGGCTGGTTACGGCTTAGCTGCACAGCGGCCGAGCTTCGCCTCATCCGCGAACCTCCCTGTTCCGATCGGGACGGTCACCCACTTCTCGTTTTCATCGACCCCAAATTACTCCGCAATCATTCTCCACAAGTGCTTCCACTTGAACAGATCGCCGTTGCTGCAATTGAAAGCTTCGTTGCTCGCATACGGATCCATCGCCGCCCATACTAGTGCTCCGCTATCAGACCGGAATCCGACGCCACCGAGTAGCAGTTCCATGCCGCCTTCGTTCCCGAGGGAGAACCAGAGATTGTGATTGAAGGGGGTGATGGCAGTGGGTTAGTGGGGGTTTGGTTTCACAGTGTGTGATGGGTTTGATGGAGAGAAGGTTGGGCTGTGGTTGGTGATGACGGGTGATGGTGGTGGCGGGATTGGGGTGGTGGCTGTGGGTTTGTGTACTAGTTCGATTGGGTTTGGTGGTGTGCTGTTGAGATGCCGATGGAGGTGGTAGTGATGGTGGTGGGTTTGATTTCGTTTAACGGTGTGTTTTGGCATGAGTTCAGGAGGGTTTCGTGGTGGTTATGTTGGTGGTTGCGGACGGTGGTGGTGGTGGTTATGTTGGTGGTTGCAGAAGGTGGTGGTGGTCGTAGACGACGGTGGTGGTGGTTATAGGATAATTTAGTATTTTCATATATAGAAGGGCATTATTGTCCAAAAAACTTAGTTTGTCTGTCGCGTGTGAATCACGCGCTCATTTTTGGACGGCCGGTCACCGGATGGGGTGATCTGTAACTTTTTTGTATAGTTTGAGGGGTTTTTTGCATTTTTAGTAGTTCAGGGGGTTAGTTGCAAATTTTCCCATAGTTCCGGGGGTTATTTGCACTTTACCCTATAATTAAAGATAGATTAGCGGTAAATTCAACAGGTTTAACCCATTTGAAAAATCCCCTCTTCTCTCTCTCCCTGGTTTGTTAAATCTATGTGTTTCTATATATATATATATATATATTTCTATACATATAGGTTAATTAAATCTCTGTGTTTATATGTATTTCTATACATTAATTAAATCTCTGTGTTTCAACATATACATATATATGTATATATTTTTTCTATACATGCAATTTTTATCACAGAGATTGATTTTCTA